CATCCGAAGTTCGCCTCCAGCGCATCCGTTGGTATTTGAGCCCCATGCTCGCTGGATAGAGGAAAGAAGGGAGTGGACCGTTATTAATTCTCCCTACCTAGACTTCATGTGGCTGCCTCCTTATGTAGAGGTTTGCCTTGCAAACTCCAAATAGAAAACGACTTACGCTTTCCTAATACTGAATGATTCAAGTACCGCACAACTAGGACTTCCCATAAGTGATTATTACATCCTTGATTAACTAGGACCAAAATCCTAACTGGATTTGCTGCCAGCCCTAGCCTGGCTCATATGTCCTACACCTACTCTTCAATTTCAAAGAGTTATCAATGGCATTTATCGAATTAACCTGTAGTTACAACTAGCAAACAACACTTTCTTCGGTATTATTGCATACGCACTATTAGAGGGGGGTACTAGCCTTATTTTTCCCAAATATCTCCATTTTTCGTAAGAACATAAACAGTTGTTCTCAAAAATTGGGCAAAACAGGGTACAGCTATGAACTTCAATCTTATGATCTTTCCCTGAATTTAGCACCAAATAAGGATTCCTTCTTCTTAGGAAGAAGGATATTTGTCCAGTCTACTCAAAACAAAAACTAATGTCTAATAGATGCAAAGCTTACTCAGTGTGACAAATATATAAAACAAAATAGAATGTAAATACCATATCACAGCTCCAGCAGCTGCAACCTTTCGAAGCATGGATAAGCATTGCACCAATGTTCTTAAGTATTTCACATTGAGGGGAGCATCTGCCTTCCTCATTGATTCCTAAAGCAGCATTAAAAAAAATAACTCAGGTAATTTGACCCCAAAATAATGTTAGCCCACAATGTACAGAGAATAAGCCATACAAGGAACTCGTCTGGTGTAGCGCAAGAAAGGAAAATCGGAATTTCACAAGAGAAACTTTTGGAATCCTTCCGACCACACCCACCACCTAAGCTACTATCATCGTCTGGGCCATCAAATGAAGAACTGAAAATATGGAAACAAAAAAATCAAAAATTAGATAACAAATACTAGTTAGTTTATTCCATACATAAACAATCAAAAATTAGACAACAAATACTAGTTAGTTTATTCCATACATAAACTGAAAATATGGAGACTATTTGATAGATGCAAACGACAAGAAATGGCTAACATAGTAGTATATTTCATTGAAACAACTAAACAAGGATAACACAGTAGCTTAGCAACTCCGTATACCTATTTTACTGTTTACATGTGCAGTTCTGGTAGACTCACTAAACATAAATAGAACTGATTCGAGGAAATAATTAATGAATTTGACGGACATTACTCTGAAGCATATAATTGTTCACGTCTTGCAGGTATTCGGCAACTTATCATTTACGATAGCTATATGATATATAATGCATCAAAACTTTTGAGCACAAGGATGGAATTACCACAATCTAGTTTTTTACGTTATGAGATGCAAGGATATCATTAGCTCCATCATAACTTGGAATAAGCATAAGGAATGGAACATACCATCCAACAGAACTAGTTTTTGTTATCCCATCTGCAGTAGCTGGTCCACTAAAGTGATTTTCACCTTTAATAGACATTGTTCTCCTGGACAGAGGCTGCATGCTGTTTACTAAGCGACCAGTGGCTCCAGAAGTTGGTATGTCCTCACTGTCAACCATGCTTAAAGTCACCAAGCTGGAACATAAAACAAATACAGATGAAGAGCTGATGATCAATGACAGAATTTGAATCGAGAATCAGTTGACACGTATGGTGATCATTGCCAAAAGAGTTACCGAGAAGTCAAATCAAAAAAAAGATTCTCAAACACAACTTACTCACTGGTGTTCACACTGTCATAGTAAAGTGCGTGTAAAAATGTGATTGTAAAATAGTTATAAGACATAAGATGCTACAGAAAAAATGGGGAATAATCAAAACAAGCCAGAAGGAATTGAGGACATGAAATGTACCTATATTCACCATTGTTGTATAGGTGGCAATGCAGCTCCTCCAAAATTTTGTAGAACAGTGCACCACGCAGCTTTGTTAGATCAGATCGAACATCTTGAAGAGCACCTACCTTTAAAATTTTGTCAATATGTGAAAATGCTAAGATGAAAGAAAGAATGTGTCATAATAGGATAAAGAGCTATTTTGAAGTACAAAATGTATTAAGAGGGTGACCAGACCAACAGGCATATAAAAGATAAACTTATTGATCTCTCATACGTCGCTAAATGGAACTGCACTTTTATGTGTTACCGACCCGAAGTGCATATTCTGATAAACTAGCACATGGTGCAGACATTGTAAATTGCAGCAGGCATCTATGTTTTTAAGGCGGTAAGGCGATCTAAGGCGCTGGGGGGGCGCCTTATCGCCTAGGCGACGCCTAAGCGCCTAAGGCGGACGCCTAAGCGCCTAAGGCGGGCATATTTGTAAGGCGCTGGCGGGGCGCCTTATCGCCTAAGCGTCGCCTAAGCGTCCAAGGCGGGACGCCTTAAAAACAGAGGCAGGCATATTGCAAATAAGTACACTGGCCTGTTACAAAAGTACTTGCATGTTAAGACTAACCGCTTGAAGGCCTTCCCGCTCTAGCATCAGCATTGACTGAACATGCAACTGCACTGCGGCGTATAGCTGCTTCTCTGCCATCAAGTTCTCAATCCGAGCAGGAACCTGCAGAAATTCAGTAACTTAATACTGAAATAAACTCTTGGTAGTTGGGACATAAAACATGCTAAGGCTGAAATGAGCACTTACGAATGTACACTGTAAAAGCTAGAAATTAGAGGCATACTCCAGTATCCTATAAGGAAATATTGCTTAAAATCGCTCCACTATGAAATATTGACTGGACCAAATGATTGATGCATTAAGCAAACATAACATTTCATTTCAAAGGCAAAAACAGCAAGGAATTGTGGCTTTCACATGATTTGTGTCGAACAATACAGGTTCACTTCAACCTCCTTTCTACACTTCAGCTAACGATTCAAAAGAAACTGCCAACAAAGAATTACAGACCAGTCTCTCCAGTCACTGATAATTATTCGAGGCAAGGATGAAGGAGAAGCAAACCACCACGAAGACACAGTTTTTTACATACAAGAAAAAATCACCGGGATTTATGTCCCAGATGTTTAAATAAGACAGTAAAACCACATATGAAGCCGGGATGGCAATGGGTAGGGTATGGGCGGGTACAACCTCCTTGTCCCCAAACCCATACCCACCCACTTCAGTACCCATGGAGGCATGGACATAAATTAACACCCGTGCCCATACCCATCGGGTATCCTGTACCCAATGGGTACCCGGTGGGTAAAAACTGTATAAGTATTACATTTAAATTTTTAGAAGGTAGAGAAATGAGTTTCAAAATCAAGTGATGGTTGGCATCAATGGAGTATGAGCAGCGGTTCGTGGGGTCGCTTGATCATTGGACAATAGACCAACAGAGAAGAGTCAATATTTCATCTTTTTGAGGAGTCGCATAGGCCGTAGGAGGAGTGGCAGGCAGGTGGTTACGGGCCTATGAGATATGGACGGTTTAAGGAACACGAGATTTAGGGTTGGGCCATAGGAGTTGTATGTTGACCCACATGTCATAGGAACTATTTTCATTTTTTATTATTTTATGGGTATCCATTGGGTTACCCATGGGCACAAGTTCATACCCATGCCCTACCCATATATTTTGCGGGTATGGATACCCATTATACGTGGGTACAAAATCTCTCCAAGTCTTGTCCATGCCCGTTGTTTTCGGGTAGGTTACCCGCGGGTACCCTACCCATACCCATGGACAAAACTACCATCCCTGTATGAAGGGTAAAATAATAGCTTCGATTATTCTCGTTGAGACTTCAATCATACAATTCTGACTAAACTTCAAACGCATCCAAATATGTCACAGGGCATGTGACTTCAAGATTAGTTTCTTGGGATGTCTTAAGATAATGGTAGGCAAGAAGATTTTGCAACATTTTCGACATAGCACTATCCTACACATGCAATGCACGCTTTTTGTAACGCTATCCTACACATGTTGAATTAACCACCGATGAAATAACCACCCAACAGATGCTTGGAAGAATGATACACGATTGACAAAAAGATAGCTCTCCGGAATCAGCCTCGCTGATGAATATTAATTTTTCTAAATTGGCACTAAAGTGTGCCATTGAGCAGACAGAGAAAGGGAAGAGCATCTGCCTGTCGAGAGAGATAGAGGAGGCCATTATTGTGAGGGGTTTTAATTTGGGTAAATTTGATATATGCCACTATAAAGTTTCCAGTTTTGAAATATGCCATTACTATTCTTAGATTTAGAAACATGCCACTACAAAGTTCACATGCTTTGAAATATGCCATTGCATACCCTTTTGAAGGATTAGACATCATAATATGTATGTATACCTCTTCATAATTTGTACATGGACAAAAGTACCCCTTGGTCAACTCAACGACACCACCGATTCAACAGATCAAAAAAAAAAGAAAGAACAGCCCCGATATCCTTTTCCTATCGTCTTTCTCTGTCTCCTTGCCCCTGCTCCCAGCCGCTGAGCCTCCGCTTCCGCCGCCGCGCCTCCGCTGCTCCCGGCCGCCGCACCTTGATTCGCTGCACCTGGCCTCCTCCTCCATTTTTTACCCCCGCAGCCGTGCCCAGCTCTCATGAGTCCTGACCAACGCCCCTGCTCGTATCCTCTCTGTAAACCTAGACGAGCAACATGGAGATAACCAGTGGTGATGGTGGTGGTGGGAGGAGCGTTTGATTCCCGCAACTCCACGTGTGGAGCATGGAAGAATTCAGCCCCATTCCCCCTTCCTTGTGAGTTTGCTAATCCTCTCCTGCAGCAATTTGTTATTTACTTTAGTTGAAATTTGTGTGTGTGTGACAATTTTTTTGGAATTATTCATTCTTGCTCTGTAGGTCTGGACAGCCAGATTTGTTTGCATTGGATCTTAAAGTTGAATCATTTAGCACTAACCATCCACCGGGCTTGAAATCTTACTTCAAGGGCAGAGTGTTGTTGTCGACCGCAAGTCGTTGACTGTGGATGCTATGATGTCCGATTTAGCTGGTGTTCTTAAGTTTGGGGTTAATCAGAGGGCTCATGTTTGGTATTCTGACAGGAGCAAGCATGAATCTGTGTGTCTAAACCATGACTCCCAACTTCCTGCTATGTTTGACATGCATCTATCAGAGAGGTTCATAGAGCTTGTTGTGAAAGTTTCTAACGTTCTTGCTCAAAATGATGAAACAATTCAGAATGAGACCACTCAAAATGACCCATCTGCAGTAGCACATGAAGATATTTCTCAAGACAATCTAACTCAGCCAAATTCAGAAACTGAATACACAGACGACATTGATCCATTTGACTTACCAGAGGAGTATGTAGGTGTTGACGATGAGCACATATACGGTGTCGAGCCTAAGACCGTTAATGTGTCTGTTGTTCAGATGTTGGATGATGATGAACCAGTTGTTGATGGGCATATTCGAGAGGTGGCTATAGATGATGATGATGATCCTAGAGAGCTGATAATTGCCCATGACCCACAAGACCCACAAGACCAACTTTGTCCATGAATGCTATTCTGTGGAGAGGTTCCAAGCTGCATATGCTGGTGTGATTGCACCAATGACAGATAAATCAGAGTGGCCGGGAGTTGATCTAGGATTTAAGGTACACCCTCCTGTACAAACGAAGAATGTGCCTGGTAGGCCTAGGAAGGTGAGGATTAGAGGTTGGATGGAACCTATGAGAAGAACAGTTAAATGCAAGAGATGTATAGGATTTGGTCATCATCAGAAAACTTTCAAACTTCCTTTTAAATTAGACGATGAAGAGGAAGAAAAGCCAGATGATGGGGAGCAAGAAAAGCCAGATGATGTAGAGAAACAAGAAAAGCCCGATGATGGAGAGTAACAAGGACTAGACGGTGGAGAGCAAAAAGCAAGTGCGGAGGTGGATCCAGCCCCTAAAGAGGTGCAACCAGCCACGAAAAGGTATTAGAATTTGATCATATCTTTTCCAATTACATTCAGCTTGTCATGTGTATTTGGATCATATTTTCTAATTTTGCAGGAAGAAGGTTGCAGCAAAATCCACAACTGAAGGAGCTTCTCAAGCAAAAGGCAAGAAGAACATTGTATCAAACTCAACTAAAACTCCAGCTGAAGGCAAGAAAAAGGCAGCAGCTAAATCCCCATCAAATGGCAAGAAAAAAGTAGTTCAAACAAGCTCAGGTAAATCCCCAACAAAGGGTGGGAAGAGAAAGCCAAAGGGTACTAAACCTACAAAGGAAAATGGGTCTGCAACCATTACAGTGAGGCCAGAAGTCGGAACCAAAAGGAAGTTGAATGATTTGATTAGAGAGAAGTAGTAGTTGCTTGTAATTTGTGTTTTCATCTTTCAAAACCATCACGTGACAATTGATTCTCTGAACTGGTCATGATTTGTGTAATGTTATTTTGCCCAGAATTGGGGGAATTTAGGATGTGAACTGATGCTATTTGGCCAAGTGATGTGATATTTAAGTCAAGTTGCCAATTGATGCATTCCAGTACGAGCATGTGCTGTCAATTTTGCTTCATGTTGCTACAGACTTCAGGTTTTGCATCTGCTAATCATATACTTCTATACATCATCATTTCTATAGCTAACCCTAATTGGAACAGCAAGCAATGCATTCCAGATTTCCAGTACAAGTAGATGCTGCCAAATTTGCTTCAGTAGCTACAGGCTTCAGGTTCTGCATCTGCCGGACATTGCTACAGGCTATCTGTTTGCCCAACACGCATCACTGCCTGCCGCCGTCGTGAGCATCGTAAACACCAGTACCAGCTGCGAGCCATGAACAGCTAGGAGCCGCACGCGACATGCACACGTCCATGCTACCCTTCGCGGCCAGGCGCATCGCCGTTGTGCCGTTGTTCTCGGCCTTCGTTGGTGCCAAGCACCAGCAACAAGCGGTGAACAGCAAGGTGTGCAGAATAAAGATGTTGGGCGAGGGCAGCGCTCGGGACCAGCAGCTATGAGGAACTGGAGGAGGTGGCGGCTGGGAGTAGCGCCGCCGCCGCCGGCGGTGGCGGGAGCAGATTTGAGAGACGAGAGAAAAAGGAATCAGGAGCGGCAGGTGTTGACTTGGCCAAGGAGCAGCTTTGTCCATGTACCAAATACAAAAGGAAATACACACATGTTAGGGTGTCTAATCCTTCAAAAGGGTATGCAATGGCATATTTCAAAGCATGTGAACTTTGTAGTGGCATGTTTCTAAATCAAAGAATAGTAATGGCATATTTCAAAACTGAAAACTTTATAGTGGCATATATCAAATTTACCCTTCTAATTTTGCAAGACAAAATCAAACGAAATACAAAGCATGGGATTAATTTCATCACTTTGTGGTGTTAATTGCATGGCTTAGTTAGCACTTCTTGCAATAAAGACAATTAAAAATAACTAGCAACTGCGAGAAAAGTTTCACCTTCTTTACATTGTTGACCGGATTTTATGGATGGTTAAGGTGACTAGTATCCCTACACACTCGTACTTTTATTGATAATCTCTACTTTTAAAGGGGAGTTGGTAGGTTCGCCTTGCCTCCCCCCATCCTCGCTTGGTTTTCTGTAGATTTTTTTGGTAATCTCAACCGATGCCACACAAAACAAAAACCAACGTATATAGTGTAACTTGAAATAATCTGAACCAAATCGATATTTTTCTTTCCTTATCCTACTCATTCCCTTGAAACAAAAAACAACATCTATTAATTTATGGAAAGTATCATCTAGCGTTGGACAGAAGGATCACGTTAACTATGGAGAGCATCATTCTTTTCCGGTTTTGACTATAGCATGCTTAGTGCAGTTAAATACCTCAAGCGAGGATCGCCTTAATTTAGGGAAAGTATCATTTATGTGGGCTCCTCCTAAAATCTCTCGTTCCCTTTCCGTCATCTTCACTTTCTGCCACGCGATCCTACCCCGACGACGTCGATGTGGGACGGGCCATAAGGAAAAAAAACACTCACGGCGTCTCTATTGAGGCACTCGTAATATGTTTCCCACGTTGCAACGCACAGGCAATTAGCTAGTAAGTATAGATAAGCAGCTTACTGAACTATGATCCTTTTCCTTTTGTAATTGGTCAATATTTTTTGTCAAAATATCATAACCCACACATCTAGCAGTTTATGAGATTTTTCGTTTCTAGATTAGACAAACTGTCCTGGCATGATTATTAAATGTACCAAACATGAGTATGCAACAGCTGGGCTCATCTAGTGCATACGGATTTTTAACAACGCAAAGAAAATGGCTAACACATACTAACAAATGATATTTTTGTTCCATCCCACAAATGTCCCTTTTTTGCATTTGTGTTGATCATCAACGTCTGGTTGCAGAATACAGACAGAGCCTAATTACCAACTTCCGTTTAATGTAATGTTGCTGCCAAGGAGTAGTACATAATTGTAACGGGTGAAGTGTGCCCACTGACCTTGGCAACATCCTCAACCTGATCCAGCAGGGAGATCACGTGGCGCAGCGTGAGGGACCTGTACCATAGCTGCCCAAGGTGCTGATTCTTCCTCCCAAGCAGCTTTTTGGCCTCTGCCATCTCCCCCTTGAGGCCGGTGATGCTCTCGGCGGATTCGCTGAACAGCCGCAGGATCTGGCACCACACCGTAAAATGATAAAAATAAAATGCAACGGCGACTACACTCTCCAAAATGGACGGGGATGAATAATCCGCCAGGGAGAAGGAATGCGCAGGTGATGTGGCAGACGGGCGGACGGACCTGGGAGTAGTTCTGGATGGCCTTGTTGAAACCATGGTGGTACGCGTGGACGACCTCGTCAACGACGTCCTCGATGAGGTCGCTCTGCTCCTTGAGGAACTGGATCTCGCCATCGCGGTCCTTCGAGGTGAGGATGTGCACGACGTGCGGCAGCGAGTCGAACCGCGCCGCGGCCCATCCCTCGTCGATCCGCGACAGCCCTTCCTTAAGGTACTGCACGCACGCACGCCCGGCCAGACCCCAATTTCAAATTCCATATAAATTCCAGGCGGAATGGAGGGATGTATTCGGGACTTACAGATTTGTCGGCCGGAATCGGAAGGCCGTCGAAGATGCCACGGCGGTGGCGGTTCATCGTTACCGACGGCGAGGCGGGACCCGGGGAGACGAGCAAGATCTGGAGAGAGTGGGCTATATACGAGGGCTACGAGAGGGCGATAGGGCGTCGGAACCGGTAAGGCCAACTCCACCGCGCGACCCTATCTTGTCCGGCCCCGTTCGTTTGGAATAAAAAAGACAAATGAAATGGACCAGCGAGCGACGGCCCGGACCCATCTGGTCCGTTTTATGTCCGTGCCGACCCATTTCGAGCGCAAACTCGCGCCGGGTTTGGGTCGCGGCGGACAGCGAACGGACGCTTCGAACGTCCGCGTCGGGGCCGCGTGGCAGGCGGCCACCTACCTCCCACCCGCCAACATAAATGCGCACGGGCGGGAGGCCCCACATGTCATCCGCACAGCGACGGGTCGGCGTCCTTCTTAAATGGGACCCATGGACCGGTCGTCGTCCTCATCCCCACGCCGGCCCCTCTCTGCCCCCTCGAAAGTCGGCACGCCCAAACCCTAGCCACTCCCCGCCCCTCGAGCTCGCCGGCCGGCCGCAGCCATGGGTCTGTGGAACCGCAAGGGGAAGCACGACCGCGAGGCCGGCTCCTCCTCCGGCGGTCGCCGCGGATCCGTGAAAAAGGAGGAGCCCGCGTCACCGTCGCGCTCCTCCCGTCGAGCCCCCGCGTCACCGCCGCACTCCTCCCGTCGAGCCCCGCGCCGGCCCCCTTCACCATTGCCCCTGGGCCCTCCGGCGAGCGCGCCCGGCAGTACATCTGCGCGGACGTGTGCCGGAGGTACCGGGAGACGGCGACGCCGGTCCCGTGGAGCGACGCCCACCCCCCAACGGGTGGCACCTCTCCGCGGACCGGGTCCCCATCCCGCCGGTGCCGGCGACCGGCCGTACACGGCGCGATGAGATCAACCGCCACCGCTGCCTCCTCCCCGACGACCTGTACTACGACCACAGGTATGCCCCCGACTCCCCGCTCTGGGACACATGGCTCCAGGACGAGTACGACACGCGCCGCGCGTCCTACTTCGTTGGCACCGTGTCGGGGCCGCGGAGGCCAGGTGCAGAGCCGCGCGGGCGTATGCGGGTGTGCGGCCTGACGCCCACGCCATCGCCTTCCCCGTCTCCGTCGCCCCCTCCCCCTCCTCGCATGACAGCGGAGGAGGAGGCCCGTCTCCTGCAGCGTGTCATGGACGACTCCATGAACACGCACGACGGCGGCAGTGGGACGGCCTGGAGGAGGCCTTGGCCCTCTCTGCCGCCGGGGACGTCGCCTTCCCGGAGCTGTAGCTGGCGGCCATCACGGAGGAGCCGATGGAGGAGGACCCGCCGGCGTTCGAGAAGCTGCTGGGCCAGGGGTGGGGCTGGTCCTGCACTGCGTCGGAGATGGCCGCCAGCCTGGGCGTGAACTGGTGCCCCACTCCGCCGCGGTCACCGGAGCGGGAGGCGTCGCCGCGGGAGGAGGTGGTGCAGGCACCTCTGGTCGTCCAGCCCGCCCCCGTCCACCACGCACCGCCGCCCCACCTCTGGACGCCGCCGGAGTACGTCGACCTCGTCAGCGACGACGACGACACCGGCGGCCAGTGAAGACGGCGACGGCCACGGCACCGATGGGCGCGGCAGGAGCGCGCGGGAGGCGTTTTTTTATATTTTTTTATATGTTAATTATGAAACTGGGCATTTTGTGGCCGTGAAAACTGGGCCATTTTGTGGCCGACCCCTATATATGTTTTATGTTTTTTTAAATGCGTTTATTTATTTTTTTTAGTTATTTCATTCTAGTTTTTATTTTTTTATTCACGTCCACCCCGGACACGATTTGGGGTGCGGCCGCGCGGTGGGCGCACGCACGACCCATCTGACAAAGCCGGACACGGGCGAACCCATCGGCGCCCCAAAGGGACAAAATCCGGCCAAACCGGACGTCCGTTTGGGGTCGTGCGGTGGAGTTAGCCTAAGGCCTTGTACATGATGCCTTGTACAATGCAAGGGATGTGCTTAGAGCAACTCTAGCAGACCCCGCATCCGTCCCCGGCCCGCAAAATAACCGCCAAAATGCGGGTACGGGCCGGAAAGTCTACCCGACCAGACCCCGCATCCCGCCCCGGCACGTAAAAGTTTTTAGCGGGCGCGGCAAATTTCCGGCCCCAACCCGGGAAAAGGCGGGTTTCCCCCTCGCGGCTGCGGTGCCCTGCATCACAGATAAGCGGTTGGCGGGAGGGACATTTCAGCCCGCGCTCTTTTCCCCCTTCCTTCCGCCGCCGCCCGCCCTTGCTTTCACCCGCCCGCCGCCGGCGATTCCGGCCATATCTGCGGGCGGAATCGCTCCGCGGGGCCGCCCCGAGCCGCTGCATCGCCCCTCCGGATCCAGCGAGAAGAGACGCCCCAGTCGCCGCCGCCGCTGGGATCGACCACCGCCGAGTGCACGACCCTCGTCGCCGCCCCCGGATCACTCGCCACCGGTTAGTCTCTTTTTTGTGATTTTCGCGAGTTGTGTAGTAGATTGACGCGCCAGCGTGCGTGCGTGTAGATGGAGTTGACCCCGTGCGAGAAGTTCTTGCTATCCGATTCGTCCGATTCAGACGACTCGGGTGTGGATACCATGCTTGCGACCTTTCGGCAGCAAACATTGGTCATGGAGCTTGCCGTGAAGGAGCATGAAGACGAGTACCGAAAGAGGAGGCGAGGATCTACTGTCGGGCGTCTGTGCATTCCGCGGAATCGCCATATTGGAAACGAGATGTTGATGCAAGATTATTTTTCGGAGAATCCTACATATCCTGCACACCTCTTCCGCAGAAGGTACCGAATGCGCCGGTCCCTTTTTGTGAAAATTGTTGAAGCTTGTGAGGCAAATTGCTGGTATTTCGCTCAGAGAAGGAATGTTGCGGGCTAAAGGGCTTAGTGCATATCAAAAAATCTCCGCAGCTATGCGGGTGATAGCATATGGCGTTCCGGCTGACTATACCGATGAGTATCTTCGCATTGGTGAAGATAGCACAATTGAGTATGTCGTAGATTTGCGAAAGTGATCGTCCGTGTCTTTGGTCCCGAGTATCTTCGGGCACCAAATGAATATGACGCAAAGAAATTGATGGCAGCTAATAAGAGGAGAGGTTGGCCTGGGATGCTAGGTAGCATTGATTGTATGCATTGGAATTGGAAAAATTGCCCCAAGGCTTGGCAAGGAATGTATTGTGGCAAGTCTCGTGATGCAACAGTTGTGCTAGAGCCGTAGCATCTGAGGATTTATGGATTTAGCATTGCTTTTTGGTATGTCCGGCACACTCAATAATATCAATGTGTTGCAACGCTCTCATTTGTTTACTAGGCTTGCTAGTGGTGATGCTCCTGCTTGCAACTACACTATCAATGGGCATGAATACACAAAGGGGTACTATCTTGCAGATGGTATATATCCTCCTTGGTGCATATTTGTCAAGAGCATCAAAGAATCCAAAACAAAAAAACAATGTGAATTTGCAAGGATGCAAGAGGCAGCCCGAAAAGACATTGAAAGAGCATTCGGTGTTTTGCAATCTAGGTTTGCCATTGTCCGATGTCCTGCTCGTTTTTCGGATAAGAAAACCCTGAAGAACATCATGACTTGTTGTGTTATCCTGCATAATATGATTCTTGAAGATGAGAGAGGAATGGACTTAGAATTATTTTACGATAATGTGGGTAGCCGTGTCAAACCAGCTAGAGACACAAAACGCATTAGGGCTTTTCTTCAGACATACAGCGAGATTGAAAATGCGGACACACACTTTCAACTTCAGAAAGATCTCATTGAGCACCATTGGCAAAGGGTTGGGCAGTGACTAATTTTTGTATTCATTTGTATTTGTATTCATGACAAGTTTTGTATTGCATTATTTTAAGTTTGCTCCGGTGATTTGAATAAGTATTTGTAATGCGGATGATTATTGTTTTATGTTTGATTTGAATAATTCAGTTTGTTTTCGATTGTTGAATTATGTTGGATTTGAGATTGCAGGCTGATGATTTGCGGGGATGCAGCGGCGCAAAGAGCAGAACCCGCATAGCCGGCCCGTAAAAAAGTATATTCTGTGGTCTGTATCTGTGCTAGCCCTCGCCGGCCTGCAAAAGCAGTTTTGCGCGAATTACAAACGCGTTTTGCGGGCCGGCGTTTTGCGGGGTCTGCTAGAGTTGCTCTTAGAAATAAACCGAGCTTTCCTTAAGCACGTTGCTTATTTGTACAGGATAGACGTTTAACTAAGCGTCTCTCTTACAGAAATAGGCACCGGTGCTTTAAAAAACTCGGTTTATTTTTCTAAGCACCTCCCTAAGCATCTCCCATTGTACAAGGCCTAAGAGGCTGAATTTCGGGTCTTGACCCTTTATCAAAGAATTTCATGATGTGAGTCGAGTTCAAAAAAAATTGAAATTGGACCCTTTTGCTACCGCCACGGGGCTCTGCGGTAGGGTCAAGCATCCTACCGCCAGGGAGCCTCGCGGTAGCAAAGACGGCCACAGCCATCAACTAACGGCCAACACACCACCACCCTACCGCCAAGGGCCTCAGCGGTAGGTTATGGGGCCCAACCTCCGAGCCCTGTGGCGGTAGGGTCTCTGGGGTTTTTGCCTGGGAACTTGCTGTAATCGAAAATGGCAAACCCCTGGCGGTAGGTTGTGAGATCCTAACGCTGGGGGGCTTGACGGTAGGGTCCTGTGATTTTGCATTTTTGCAAGTTTTAGTGATTGTTTCTTTTCTAAAGTTTTATCACACCAAAAAATACAGTATAATATATATTTAAGAGCCTAAAATATGCAGATCTGACACAATATGACATGTTATCACACTCGAGATATTAATAGCAAACAGTTCCACATAGTTTCACAAATAGCAAACGGTTCGAACTAACACATAGTTCGACAATCCCAACTAACACAAGTTGTTTCGCAAAGCCAACTAAAACAATTAGGATAACAATCAAAGACCACAATTACGTGATTCTTCCCCTCTTGGAGGTACGGTCCTCGTTGTTCTTCGAA